TCAGCCGGCAGTGCTGAGGAGCCCGCGGGCCCAGGACAGGCGGCCGACGCGTCCCCTGAGCCCAGCGCTGACGAGGACGACCTGATGACATGCTCCAACGCGCGCTGCCGGCGCACAGAGACCATGTTTAACGCTTGCCTATATTTCAAGTCCTGCCACAGCTGCTATACCTACTACTGCTCGCGCCTGTGCCGCCGCGAGGACTGGGACGCGCACAAAGCGCGCTGCGTGTACGGCCGCGTGGGCAGCGTGTGCCGCCACGTGCTGCAGTTCTGCCGCGACAGCGGTCCGGTGCACCGCGCCTTCTCGCGCATCGCGCGTGTCGGCTTCTTGTCCCGCGGGCGCGGCGTGCTCTTCCTGGGCTTCCCGAGCCCTGGCTCCGCAGACAACTTCCTGCGCTTCGGCCTCGAGGGGCTGTTGCTATCGCCCACTTACCTGTCGCTGCGCGAGCTGGCCACGCATGCGGCACCCCTGGGCAGCTACGCGCGTGAGCTGGCAGCCGCCGGGCGCCTCTACGAGCCAGCCGAGTGCTTCCTGCTCAGCGTGTCGGTGGCAGTAGGGCCCGGCGCCACGCCCCCCGGCAGCCTTGCTCGGCCCGCGCCGCGCAGCCCTGGGCCCACGGTGCGCAAGTTCGCCAAGGTGGCGCTGGCGGCCGGCAGCCCGGCGCGGCCACCCCTGGCCCGGGGCCACGAACCCGACATGGAAACGCTGATTCTGACGCCACCTCCAGGCACGGTGGGACTGGACCAAGACGGGGAGGCGGGCCGGCGCGCGCGCGAGGTAGCCTTCATTCACATCCAGCGCGAGCTGCGGCTGCGCGGTGTCTTCCTGCGCCACGAATTCCCGCGCGTCTACGAGCAGCTCTGCGAGTTTGTAGAGGCCAACCGGCGCTTCACGCCAACCACTATCTACCCCACTGACCGGCGCACCGGTCGCCCCTTCATGTGCATGATCATGGCTGCCTCCGAGCCTCGCGCACTCGACTGGGTGGCCAGCGCCAACTTGCTCGACGACATCATGTGAGCCGCAGGAGCTCGCCAGGAACCCACCCAACCTACCCAAGACCGATCCAGTCCACCTAGGACTGCCCCCGAGCCCCGCCCAACTCACTCAGGCCCAGCCCAGCCCGCTCAGGCCCCGCCCAGTCCACCCAGGGACGCCCCGAGCCCTGCCCAGCCCACTCAGGACTTGCTCAGTCCATTCAGACTTCGCCCAGTCCACCGAGGGCCCACGGCCCGCCCAACCCACTCAGGCCCCACCCAGTCGGCCCAGGGTCCGCCCAGCCCCCAGCCCCCACCCTTGCTTCTCCTAAGCCCCGCCGCAAA